TTATCAAGTATGTACATACATGTACTCCTCACCAGAGAATCAAAACTATTAAAAAGCACCCTCTGTCTCCTTTAGCCCAAGGTCAGCAAACTTTAGTTTAAGTAGTAAATATTTAAGGCTTTGTAGGCCATGTAGTGTATCCAGCTACTTAAGAATGTCCGTGTGTGGGGAGAAAAAATTATAATCAATAAATGAGTGAGCTCAGCTGTATTCTAATGAAATTTTTTTTACAAAAGCAGGCAGTGGGGCCGGGGATTTAGCTTAGAGGTTCCACTACCTGCCGGCAAGTGCAAGGACCCGAGTTCGATCCCCAGTACCAAAAAACAAACAAAAGTAGGCAGTGTAGCTGAGTGTGGTGGCACATGCTATACTCCCAGCACTCTGGAGGCTGAGGCAGAAGGATCACCACAAATTTGAGGCCAAGCTGGACTACATAGTGAGTTTAAGGCCAGCCTGACCTACAAAGCGAGACTTTGTCTCAAAAAAAAGAAGGTTCAAGCCCAACCTGGGCAATTTAATGAGACCCCGTCTCAAAGGTTTTTTTTGTTTTCTTGGTACCAGGGATTGAACTCGGGACCTTGTGCTTGCGGGGCAGGTGCAGTGCCACTGAGCTAAATCCCCAGCCCCTATGTTGTTTTGTTTTGAAGAGGAAAGAAGAGGCTGGGAATGTAATGCCAACACAGAGGACCTAGTTTCAATCACGTGAAGTAGGCCAGGTGGCCCCTAGGCTATGTATGTGGACACCTGACTAGACTCAACAGATGATTTTTCTGTGGCGTAATGGAGCTAAGAATGGTTACTACATTTTTGAAGGGTTATAGAAAGAAAGAAAGAAAGAAAGAAAGAAAGAAAGAAAGAAAGAAAGAAAGAGAAAGAAAGAAAGAAAACATGACAGAAACCATGTGTAGCCTGTAAAGCCTAAAATATCATCTGGTCCTTTACAGAATTTGCTGACCTGGAAGGCCATGAGCAGTAGAACTCCTGGCCTGTGCTTATGAGAACCAGCAGTGTGCAGTGTGGGCTGTGAGAGGAATGAGGAAAAGAGCATTTAAACATTTGAGGCTGTAGTTTAATTCTAATGCAGAAAGAAATAGATAAACATGTCTTCAGCAAACTTTCAGCTCTTGAGGAAGGCTGCCTTTAGGGCTTTCTGTGCATTGCCTCCTTGCCCTGCTCTCCTGACCCTTGAGGGAACTCAGCCTTTCCTCAAGTGCCCCTGGATCCTAGTGACTTCTGTCATGACATAAATTAATTACACTTTGTGTTTTCATTTCTCTTTCAACTCTGCCTCTACTAAATTATCGGTCTTTTGAGAGTAAGAACTTGGTTTTATTCATTTTTTTTGCCCGCAACATTGTTAATAAATAGTAGGGCCAGTGGCTATCTGGATTTCATTAGTTTTGATCTCCACTGAAGTTATAATAGTAATCTCTTCATGATCTTATGTTGTAGAAGTAACTTTTTTTCCCAGTACTGTGGTTTGAACTCAGGGCCTTGTGCATGCTAGGCAGGTACTCTACCAGTGAGCTACATATCCAGTTCTTTTTATTTTAGAGTCTTGCTAAGTTTCCCAGGCTTGCGTTGAATTTGCAATCCTTCTACTTCAGTCTCCAGAGTAGCTGAAGGACATTCATCCATTTAGGTTTTTTTGAGACAAGGCCTTGCTATATAGTTCAGACTGGCCTTGAACTCACTATGTAGCCCAGGCTGTCCTCGAACTCATGGCAATCCTCCAGCCTTAGCTTCCTGAGTGCTGAGATTATAGGAACGCACCACCACGCCAGGCTGAAGAACGTTTTTTTTTTCCTAGTACCAGGGATCAAACTCTGGAACTTGCACTTGTAAGACAGGCACGGCACCACTGAGCTAAATTCCCAGCCCTGAACTATTTATAACTGTACAAAAACTATAATAAAATACCCTACAATGAGCTCTGATGTAGAACTGATTGTGCCCTTTATAAAGTGTCTGAAATATATATGGTACTCACTAAACTATTCAAAGAATCTCTGTGGCTCTTGAAGTAGAAACAGGGATATATTTTAGGAGTATGCTTGCATGTGTACTAATTTGTTCTTCAGGAATTGATGTGAATATTTTATATGCCTTATGACATAAATTCATTTATAACTGAAAGATGCAGTTTTATTTCCAAAGCTGACTTAGCTTACAGCTAATGAGCGAGGACTATAGAACCAGACTGCATGGGTACAAATCTAATTTCTGCTTTGGCTTCCATAGCTGTAAAATTGGGATAACAGAACCTATCTTTCAAGATTGATGTAAAGATTGACTTAATGTCTTTATAGACTGTACACGGTGCTTGGCATAGATAATAAGTATTAACTCTTTATTACTATTGCCATTCCTAGTACTTCTGCTATTCATTTTTTGGATGGACTGATACTATGTGGGTGCCTTGGTTAATAAGACAGACTCCTGGGCATGGTGACTCGTACTTGTAATCCTAGCACTTGGGAGGCTGAAGCAGGATTGATACATGTTCAAGGCCAGCCCGGGCTACATATGAGACTCTGTCTCAAAAAAACAAAAGAAAAGAAATAAGACAGGCTGGTATGGTCCCACATACCTATAATCCCAGCACTCTGGGAAGCTGAGCCAGGAGGGCCACAAGTTTGAGCCTGGCCTGTGCAGTTTAGCAACTTTGTGGGATCCTGTCTCAAAATAAAAAGGGTTGTGGTATAGCTCAATGCCAACGCCTTGTATTCAATCCTTAGTGCCTACCCAGCCCCCATCTTCAAAAAAATAAAGGAAGGAAGGAAAGAAAGAAAAAACAAGGCCTTTTGAGGATTTTATAAAACTAGTTATTTGCATTAAAGAAAGATGAGCCAGGCATGGTGGCACACACCTGTAATCCCAGCGTTTAGGAGGCTGAGGCAGGAGGATCACTGTGAGTTTGAGCCCAACCTGAACTACACAGTGAGACCCTGTCTCAAAGAAACAAAAGAAAGATGGAGGTTTTGTTAAATTATGAAGGCTGCCATTAGGAAAGCAATGTAGTGTACAAAAGGCCATAAAAAAGTTTGTGTAGGGCTGGGGATTTAGCTCAGTGGTTCCAGTGCCTGCCTCGAAAGCGCAAGGTCCCAAGTTCAATCCCTGGTGCCAAAAAAAAGTTTGTGTTCTTTAATCTGGTTCCAGTTCTGGGAGTCTGAGCTTTATAGAAATCTAATGTAGGGAAAATATGCCGAGTACTGGAGGTATGGCTTGGTGGTAGAGAATGTGCTTAGCATACTTGAGGCCATGGTTTGGATCCCAAGAACCAAAAAAGAGAAAAAAGAAGATATACTCATAAGGGTTTAATAATACTAATGGTTAGATAGAGGAGAATTAGAAAAACTAAATATCCATAGGTGCTTTGTTGAGTAGGCTCATAGAATGTTACTTTGCCATGGAAATAAATGATCATGATGAGAACCAGAAATGTGGAGAAACACCTTGGTGTAATACTAGGTAGAGAAACTGCCTCAGGTATATACAGGACTCTGGATGAAGCCCAGCGTTTTTTAATCTAGTATAGATTCTATGCTTCAGAGAAATTAAGGAAGGGTAATGGTGAAATTGTTTTTTCCAAAACTAAATGTATTTGCAACTTTTCTGAACATTTTTTAAGTGGAAAGAGATTTACACTGCTTTGCACATGGGATGTTTCTGGAGAGCAGTTGCCGAGCTGCCTTTGTGCATGTAGTGCTATTGGGTCGAACCAGGGCCTTGTACATGCTCTGCCACTGAGCCCCCCAGCTGGGACTCTGCTTTTGTAGCTGACTCTGGGGAAAGCATGCTGTGAGTCACTCAGCAAATACACACTGGGTCTATAAACACAGTGAAGGCAGCGGTGCCTTTGGACTGATGCTTTACATGAGAGCTCTAGCCTGTTTGTTTGGTTTTTTTTCTTTAATATCAGGGACGAACTCAGGACCTTGTGCTTGCAATGCTAGTGGAGGCACCACTGAGCTAAATCCCCAGCCCTTGCCTGTGATTTTTTTTTTTTTTTTTTTTTCTTTTGGTACCAGGGATTGAACTCGGGACCTTGCGCTTGCAAGGCAGGTGCCAAAACCACTGAGCTAAATCCCTGGCCCTAAAACGCTTTTTTTTGGTACCGGGGATCGAACTTGGGTACTTGCGTTTGCGCAGCAGATGGCGAAACCACTGAGCTAAATCCCCGGCCCCCTTGCCTGTGATTTTTGCAGTGGAACTTTTACAGGTATTCATTTAATAGTTAGATGGTAATTCTTTTTTTTCTTTTTTCTTTTTTTTTTTTTTTTTTGTCGGAACTGGGGATCGAACTCAGGACCTTTTGCTTGCCAGGCAGGCGCTGGCACCATTGAGCTAAACCTCCAGCCCTTTTTTTGTTTTTTTGAGACAGGGTCTCGCTTTGAGTTCAGGCTGGTCCTGAACTCACTATGTACCCCAGGCTGGCCCCAAACTTTCGATTCTTCCTGCCTCAGCCTCCTGAGTGCTGGGATTACAGGTGTGTGCCCAGCTAGATGATAATTCTTTCACAAGATGGAATGTAGGGTTTTGTTATTGTTTTTGCCTGTTTGTTTGTTTTTAAAATTTGGAAAGCAAATAAGCCCTTTTTTGCTTTTTATATTTTGAGAAACTAAAGACAGAAGACTGTCATTTTTATGTGCCTAAGAAAGTGTGCAGGATGCAAATCATTAGATTAGGCCTGGGAAGAAGAGTGTACAGTGGTTGTGACAGGGTCCAAAGGAAGGCAGCTGCTGAGCCTACTTCAGATTTTAAAAATACAAGTCAGGTAGAGCAATTGGGTGTGTCTGTGCACATGACATACAGTTTGAAAAGGCATGTTCAGAATATTAACTTGTTACAGTCCAGAGTGAAGAAAGTACAATATGACAAAACTTTATAAACTTCTGTGAATACAGGGAGAAATAATTGTAGAGAGGACTGGTTTATGTTTGACAAACACTAGTATAGAGTAAGATTTTCCCATAGAATAACTTTCTTTCTCTCTTAAGGTACCCAAGTCCACCCATCGGATCTGTCTCAGCACCCAACCTGCCTACAGCAGAAGAAAATCTGGAATATGTACGGACTCTCTATGATTTTCCTGGGAATGATGCTGAAGACCTGCCTTTTAAAAAGGGTGAGATCCTGGTGATAATAGAGAAGCCTGAAGAACAGTGGTGGAGTGCCCGGAACAAGGATGGCCGGGTTGGAATGATTCCTGTCCCTTATGTTGAAAAGCTTGTGAGATCCTCGCCACATGGAAAGCATGGCAATAGGAATTCCAACAGTTATGGCATCCCAGAACCTGCTCATGCGTATGCTCAACCTCAGACCACAACTCCTCTACCTGCAGTTTCCAATACTCCTGGAGCAACGATCAACCCTTTGCCCTCTACACAGAATGGACCTGTCTTTGCTAAAGCAATCCAGAAAAGAGTGCCCTGTGCTTATGACAAGACTGCCTTAGCATTAGAGGTAAAATTTTGTGCTTCCTTGGACGTTGGGTTTTCGGGTTTAGTTTTAGGTTCTGCAAAGTAATGTCTGCTCATTTAAAGTTATATTCATTGGAATTAGAGAACTGGGTGATTTTTGGAAGATACACTGTTAGTGTTTCACTGATTCTTTCTCTTTTCCCCCTAATTTTATTAGTACCTATTAATTTTACAAAATACTGGTTTTCAAGGCAGAAGTAGTGGTGCATGCCCATAATCCCAGTACTCTGGGAAGGCTGAGGCAGGAGGATCACAAGTTCAAGCCCAGCCTGGGTGACTTAGCAAGACTGTCTCGAAATAATAAAAGGGCTGGGGATGTGGATTAGTGTAAAGACCCTAGATTTAATTCCCAGTACCACAAAAAGAAAAAAAGGACTTGGATGTGGTGTTTTCTTGCGTGCACATATTTTGATTATAGCCATCCCCTCGTGTTATCCTCCCTTACATTCTCCTCTCCCTCCTCCCTTATTCTCTTCCCCTTGTCTAATGGTATTCTTTCTACTTTCATGTCTTTTTTAGATTCCACATATTAGGGGGAAAGTTCTTTTCACTGATTGTCCTTTATATTCCTTGAACTTCTACCAAGTACTCCACCACCTTGCTCTTTTTTCCGCTCCCAAAGCTTTCATAGATTTATTTCAGCAGTTGTTGGGTTTTTTTCCAGTAAGGAGAGATAATTAAAAAGACCAGTGACCTAGAGGAAAATCAGCGTACAAGTGCATAGCCACTTACATGAATCCATATTTCTAACATTGTGATCAGTTGAGGAGAAATAGTATTTTAGAATTTATTTTCAATTAGAGGAATGATTGTGAAATATTATTAGCTGTGAAATATTACCAGCCCTTGCTTATAGATTTTAGAAATTATAATAGCATGAAGTAAAACTTGAACACCTGACTCACCAAGTCATTTCCTTCTAACTAAATACTTAGTTAACTGATTTTTAAAAAGATTTCAAAGATCAGTATTTTTCTGTGGCTTGCTGGTATTAAAAAACATGTCCCCCCCCCCAATAAAAAGGTCCCAAAGATCAGTGTTGATGAGCTTATGAGTGAGGGCTGTGTATCTCAAAAAGTAGATGTCTGTTGAGACAGTTGATAAGTGCAGGATGAATGACTGTATATGAGCACAAACCCTATAGTGGACCTCAGAAGATAAAAAGGGGGCAGATCTGAAAAACAGATTTAACTACTTCTGAGGGGTCATTGGTTTTTTTTTTACTGAGGTATAAAGTACGTACAGTCAGATGAGTTCCAAGTATTTTTGTGTCAAAACATGGGACTGGATATCAGAAATCATGCCTCTTTCACTTATTGTTACATGGGGGAGATCTCTTCACCTCTTGAGTTTGTCTGCCCTTACCTGTAAAATGCGAATTGCTCTGGTTAGCTATCTTCAGGCTGCTGTGAAGACCAAAATGATGCTTGTTAAAATGTTTTGTAAACCACAAAGTGCCACATAAGTATCATAATATAATTACAGTTGAATACTCTTACTTACCATTAACAAACTGTATATGTGTTAGAGAAACAAAGATTAAATTAGTAATAGTTTGCTGTGGATTCACCCCAGGGTCAAAATAGGGGAGAGTTGAGAGACAGCCCCAGCATCACAAAAAGATTAATAGAGTCATTTGCTTCAAAAAAGCAAAACTTAACCTACAGTACAGCCTGCACACAGTTAAGTTAGGAAAATGTGTTTATGTATATCTTTCCATTGGTTGTCCTCAATTTTCTTTGGACAAGGAGTAATGTCTGAACTACACCTGAAAGTTTAAGAGTTGCTATTACATTTCCCGTCATTTTGGCTGTAAGGAAAAAAGAGTAAGCACCTGAGATTTAGAGCAGGGACCAGAGACTGGGGAGGACCCAGGTGGTTTTGTACATCTTAACAGAACAGGAAAGAAACCAGAACAAGCTCCACAGATAAGAGTCCTGATGGAGCAGGCCTTCTCCAGCTTTCTCACTCCCACACAGATTTGCTTTTTTTATTTTTGGTACCGGGGATCAAACTTGAGACCTTGTGCTTGCAAGGCAGGCAGCAGAACCACTGAGCTAAATCCCCGGCCCTCAGATTTGTTCTTATATATGAGTGTATACCTGTAGCCAGGCCTGCCCCGCAGCATCTTTAAATAACATGGATTCTCTGGGCTCTTTGGCAGTTTTAGGTATTATGCCTGGGGTCTTTGCACTGAACTACATCGCCAGCTCTTTTCTTTTCTTTTTTTTGTTTTTTGTTTTTGTTTTGGTACCGGGGATTGAACTCAGGGCCTTGCACTTGAAAAGCAGGCGTGGTGCCACTGAGCTAAATCCCCGGCCCTTTTTATTTTGAGACAAGCTCTTGCTAAGTCACTAAGTTGCCCAGGCTGTGCTTGAATTTGATGATCCTCCTGCCTGTCTCCCAGAGTGCTGGGATTATAGGCATGTACCACCACACCTGGCTGCTGTAGGCTCTTAATACTGTCCAGTCTATATAGTGCTTTCAGGCTTTTGAAGCATTTTCACTTCTGTAATCTTGGCAGGGATTCAGTGTGTGTGACTTGTATATTAGGTAGTTTTAGGTAGTTGGTTGTTGGCATACCAGGCTGAGACCCTCAGGGTTGGTGTACCTAGTCAGAATTTCAGGCACCTGTCTGTTCACTTCTGGTTCTAAGATTTGGGGGGTTTTTTGTGTTTTGGTTTTTTTTTTTGGTACCGGTGATCAAACTCGGGTCTTTCCGCTTGCAAGGCAGGCAGCGTAGCCACTGAGCTAAATCCCCGGCCAAGATGTGTTTTAACAACCTGTATCTTCTGTGTGGATGAATGTGTACAAGGGAGTTGTCGAAGGATTGCTTACAGCAGTGTTGACAAACCTTTTAGAGCTTTCAGTGATACAGTCTGCTGTGACACACAGCCTATAGGTTTGCCACCACTGGCTTAGAGCTTGGTGAGTGGGCAGGTAGGTGCCTAATAGACTAAGAGTAAGAAAGCCTAATTAATGATGTATATTTTAAGAAAATCTTCATACTTGGTCATTATGTAGCTCTTCTACTCTCTCAGACCCCGGAGAAAGGTCTCTAGGCCTGAGCCTCCTTACAGTACTAACCCAGCCATCTAAGCTTCATCACAGGTTTTTTAGTAGAGAGAGTTAAAAGGAACCCAAGAAGTACACCTTTGCCACCCTCTACTTAATGGTATTTTTCTGTGTAGAGAGACTTTGGACCCTAATGTAAGTAAATGTTTCTATGGTTATATTATCTTCAACCATGAGGAGAGTGATGGCTGTCTGATACTATTAAAAACAACTCTTGGGACTGTTGCAATTAGGTTACCTGGAAGTATTAAAATTAAAATGAGAAACAGAGAGACAAGTAGGACAAAATGTGCCAGTAATTGAAGCTTCCTTATTCCCCTTGACTGTTCTAGAGAAGAATGATAGCTTAGATGAACTGTATTCCTTGAATTAATTCACAAGGTTTTTTCTTAAAATTTGATTTTTGAAAGTCTTCCCACAAGTAGAATTTTTTTTTTCTTTTTTTCCCCACAAGTAGAAATTTTTAAACTAATCTGTGCTTAGCCATTTTCCTCTCTTACTTCAAGAAGTGAGGTGATACTAAGGTTTGATTTGAAAGGGAACACTCAGTGACCTGTGTAACATGAACCAGGGTGAGTGTCCCTGCTCCTTGAAAATAGCAGAGCTGTCTGTGGTCTTTGTAGTGGGACTGGAAGGGCTCTTAGGAAGTAAGTCACATCCTAAAAGAAAATTAGGGTCTGGGCCTATAGGTCTGTGGTAGGATACTTCCCTATCATGTGCAAGGCCCAGGGTTAAATCCCAGTACCAAAGGGCAGGGTAGGGTGGGGCCTGGAAGGAGGCGGGGAAGAGAAGAAAAAAGAAAGGTTGAGGAAACCACTCTAACCCTTTTGTAAAGGATCATCGACTAGAAGAGAATGCTTGGAGCAAGGTTGCTGCTGTGGTATAAAATACCTGTAGTCAATGTAGCATTCTTTGACACTGGAGAAGCAAGTGTCAGGGAAGTGTTAGGGAAGTCAGAGCAAGTGTTAGGGAAATATCACACTTCTGTATTCAAGTTCTAGTTTTTACTGGTGTAATCTTGAGCAGGTTACTTAAATTCTCTGAGCCTGAACTAAAAACAGTCTGGCTTCAAGAATTAATACTTGGTTGGGCACATGCTTGTAATCCCCACACTTTGGCAGGGGCAGGAGGATCACAAGTTCAGTACCAACCTGGGCATTTTAGATACTTGGTGAAACCTGTCTCAAAACAAAAAAGGGATGGAAATGAATCAGTGTGAGGACCCTGGCTTCAATCCCCAGTATTGTACCACAAAAAAAAATTCATGTTTGTTCATTAATTACCATCCATGTAGCCAGCTGGTGGGATACGTACACCAAGAAGCTTACCACTTAGTGAAAGAATAAAGACTGAAACCAGAAATGTAAGTAGGAGGGAGAATGAAGATGTGGGGACTGGAGGGTGGGTAGGTATTGGTCTGGGAGGGTGACTTGAGGATGAATAAGTACTGATCTTGAGAAAGAGATTTGAGAGATGAGCATTAACTAGGTAAAGTTGGAGAAACCGTACCAAGCCAGGAGACTAATACTAGTGACATAGCTGCAGGTATATGACCACACTAGGCACATTGGGAAAAAGACAAAGGTAGCAAAAAACAGCGGGAGAAATTGACTTTTGTCTTATCACAAAAGAGCTAAACTGAGGCCTGACATGGTGGTACATGCCTGTAATCCCAGCACTTGGGAGGCTGAGGCGAAAGGAGGCCACAAGTTAGAGGCTAGACTTGGCTACATAGTGAGTTCAAGGCCAGCTTGATTTTTTTTTTTTTTTTTTTTTTTTGAGACAGGGACTTGCTATGTAGTTCAGGCTGGCCTTGAACTCACTGTTAAACCAGGGTGGCCTCGAACTCGCTGCAGTCCTCCTGCCTTCCTGCCTCCCAAGTGCTGGGACTACAGGCATGTGCCACCA